TTCTGAACAAGATTCTGGTTCTTAGGCATTTTTCTATTTTTGCAGTATTATCCTATAATTTGAGGTAACCTGAGCACATACATACCTGTTTATTGTAGCCTGAACTGCCTCCAAATATGTTAATATATAGGCAGTAATTTCTAAAAAGTCCTTCTTAGCCTTGGCTGGTGTGGCTCACTGGGTTGGAGTGTAGTCCCATAAACCAAAAGGTTAGATTCCTGGTCAGGGCGGGTCAGGGCATGTTCTTGGGTTGCAGGTTCGGGCCCCAGTGGGGGCTTGTACCAGAGGCATCTCTGATAGATGTTTCTCACATTGGTGTTTCTCCTTTTCTCCCTCTCCCTTCCCTTCTGTATAAAATAATAAATAAATAAGTAAATAAATAAAAAGTCCTCCATATATACCCCAAAAAATCAGATTTGTGGATAATCATGTAATGAATATGACAGGTGACAGGAAGTTTAGTAAATCTGTTGGAATAACATTCATGGCAAAAGGATGTAAGTCTAAAAGTTTAGTTAGAGCTATTTTCCCAATTACTATCTTATTAATTTCCATGTTATGAAAGTAAGGGTACTATGTGAGCTCATGCTTGGTGTTTAGTGATCTAAAGGACATGGGAGCCTGTCATCTCTCTGGCATCTCTGTGTCAGTCTTAGGCTGTTATTGCTCTTAGAATATTAGGTGAATTCAGGGCTGCCCAGTGTTTCTTTTAGACTCTCTTGAGTCTTGGAAGCACCTTCCATATTGGACTTAGTTTTGATAGTAGTTACTGGTAACTGCTTTTCCTGGTCAGGGTTCATAGGGATTGGCTCAGGTCTGGACTCATAGCCGTGTTCCAGGATTCTCCAAAGTCATGTGACTGAGTGGAAAGTGAAATATTAGACATTAAGCTGTAACTGAAGAGTTAAACTACTCATCTTTACAAGGAATTTGAGTATCTTTTAAAGTGAGTATAATGAGAATAAGAGTATCATAAAGGTCTGTATATGGGATAGAAGAGAATTACTGGGGGAAATCCCCGTGAATTAGTTTTTCTTTCTTGGTGTATAGGGTGATGAATAAGAAGGGTATGATGTTACATACCTAACAGTTATTTTAATTAAGAAAGCCAACTAATTGTGATGATTTTAATTGATTGGAGATATAAGAAAAGAGCATTTAAGAAACTGATTTAAAAGAAGGCTGAAATGTTCTGCTTGGGTTGCTAGGTCCTTGGAAATTTAGCGTTAGGTCTCAAGAGACAGTAATCTTTTGGAGAAGATAATGTTATTGCCATCAGTTTATTTTTTTCTTCTTTAAATTTTTTCTTTATAAATTCATATGGTTCATGTAGAATAATTGAGAATTGGTGGAGGTGAAGTAGAGTGTAAGGTTTTAAAATGTGACCTTTAAAAGCATACTGGAAGTCTTCATCAATTCATAGACCCAAATAAATTCTAGAAAAGTCCAAGATTTACATGCAAAATAAAATTACAAAGCATATTAGAGGATGATATGATAACAATGAAAAAATTTTTGGTGTGGGAAAAGTCAGCTTAATAGGAAGACATAATTCATAAAGGAAAAGATTAGTAGACTTAAATGAAGAGAAATAAAGTATAGGGGCCGAAATACTATGAATGAAATAGAAAAACAATCCGTTGATTTTGGGGAAATATTTGCAGTGTACTGAGTGTGGTCATGGGAGTAGATGACTCAAGTGATCAGAGGTTCAAGAGACTATGGGGAGATTATGGAGGAGGCCATGGTCCTTAGCCAACAGGCTAAGGAAGTCATATCAGCATGAGCATCAAAGTCCCTGAAAGTTACGGCAGATATCATGGTAGAATTAACTTAGTGACATGGCTTTTGGAGTTCTTCAAGACTGTAGGGAGTAATCAGACCCATGGATGGTATTAATAAGGTATTGAGTAGATGGTAGCATAGATGGAATGCAGTGCTCCAAGGATATGGTATTAACAGTATTTGTGAACATTCTTGAACCTTTCAGTCCTTATGGAGTTGTAAACAAATCTGAAGGGTTGAAGAAAATGTTAGAAACCTTTTCATGAATTATTTGAAACTGTTTGGTCTGGAGATCCCAAAGTCACCAGATATAAGATGCTTTAGAGCTTTAACTTACCTTCCTGATATGATAAGATGGGCATAAACTTCATCAGAGCTGTTTAGTTTAATCTTGGGGGTCTTTCAGGTTCAGTGTACAACTTTTATATAGATATACTGAAGTGTGAACTTTTGTTTTTTGGGGATGAAAAATTGCCACAATGAAGACAGATTCAAGTGTAACCTCATTTCTGAAGTGGCTGGTTGATTAACTAGGAAAAATTCTCTACATAGGGAGACTGAGACATGGGTTAAATGTAAATTTCCACATATATATAACACTCTAGTGATAAAAAGGTACCTGCTGAGGCCAGTAGTAAGAGGGAGAGGGTGGATTAAAACTCTGGAAAAGCTATTTAAAATGGTACAAAGCTAGTATTTATACCTCGTTAACCCATTCAAAAATATTTATTTAGGATTACTGTCCTTTGCTAGGCACTAGCTACCAACAGCAGGTAGAGCGAGTTTATGTGCCAAGTATGAGACTACACAACTTTCATGGATTATTTCATTATATATTCATAACAGTTCTTCACATAGAAATGACTGGGTTGGTCAAAAAGTCTGTATGGTTTTTTTCCCAGAAAATAAAAGACAAATTTTTGTTTTCACCAATAACTTAATTGATTTGGATATTTTGAGTATGTCAGCTATATCCCACTATTGGCTTCTATTGTGTAGAGGCCAGGGGTGCTGCTAAACGTCTTGCAATGCATAAGACAGCCCTACAGCAAAGAATTATTTGGCCAAGAACTTTGCAAACCATTTTTGACATGGTTAATCAGTCCCAGACCTCCCCCATACACGGCACAAATCGTTTTTTGTGTTTCAGTTGTATTTTTACCTTTCTTGAAATAATAAAGCATATTATGCCAAAATGTTGCCTATTTTCTTCCATCTTCAATATTAAAATGGCTGCAAAAAAATTCATCAATTTTGATGTTTCTTTTTTAAATGCACATTGATATGACAGCTATCACAATACAATCTAACAATTGTTTTGATTGAAGTTAAAGATCACTAATCATCAGTAAAGATCACTAATCATCAGCTAAAGATCAGTAATCTAGGTGACTACTAGAGCCATCATACGGAAAAAACTAAATGAAATTTTTGGCCAGCCCATTATTCCCATTTCATAGAAGAGAAGATAGAGCAGGTGTGTCAAACTCATTTTCACTGGGGGCCACATCAGCCTCGAGGTTGCCTTCAAAGGGCCGAATGTAATTTTAGGACTGTATAAATGTAACTACTCCTTAACTGTTAAGGAGTTGAAATTACATTCGGCCCTTTGAAGGCAACCATGAGGCTGATGTGGCCCCTGGTGAAAATGAGCTTGACATCCTTGAGATAGAGGCTTAGAGAGTTTGAATAATTTCCTCAAGGTCATGTGGCAATCAAATGAGGGACATGCCTGCTTTTAAATCCAAGGCTACTTGGTGGCAGAGCCTGAGTGACCTCTTAAACACAGGGCTCTTTTTAATCTGGCAGAGGGGCATTACTGAGTGTTCACTATAGTAGTAGGTGCCAGGCTTTGTAATACATGTAAGAATCCTCAAGGTAAGTTTCATTATCATCATCTCAGTTTACCACAGTGCTATGTGCTCTCCCCAGGGGGTAGCTGGTTTGGCTCTAACCTGTGGTAGATTCTGTTCTCTGGGTATTCATACCAATTTTATCATGCCCATTGGATGAAGTTGTAAGCTTAAGCAACTTGAAAAAATCCTTCTTGTAACAGCATGAAGAAGATATTCATGTACAGGACCATTGTATTTTATGCAACTAATATTTATTCCTTTTTTCATCACATTTTCTCATATTCTTTTATATTCTATTCAAGACTTGTAGAACTTGAAATTTGTTTTACCCTTAAAAAAACTCAAACTATTGAAATATACTTTTATTTTTGGTATGTGAGCTTTTAATTATGAATAGGAAAACCCAGTTACAAAAAGGAAAACAGGTTTACTTGCGAAATAGCATGGCTAATAAGACCATGCCAGTTTTATTTATGTAAAATTATGTGCTTTAGGTTAATCATTAGTTATTTTCCTTCTTTTTTCCCCTCTCCCTGTTATTTTTACTTCTTCTTCCCTTTTTGTCTACTACCGTTTTCCCAAATCAGTATGAGACAATTATCTTTTAATTAAGTTGAATTGGTGCGTACATTGCTGTTTGAGGTGGCATTATCAGTTCTTTCCTAAAAGGAGAAGTAGATTATATGCTAGGTAACTGGGTGTTGCTGTTCACTTGTGGTGTATGTGAAGGAGGAGAGGAAAATTAAGGTGTAAAATACAAGTCTTTCTCGAAAGGAGTTAGGGAATAGATAATAAATATATCTTTAATTAAACATAGTCAGGAAATTATAATGAACATTAAGTTTTAATCTATAAATTAGGGTTCTGGTTTACTATTTCATTCTTAAGTGACAAAAATGATTCACTGAGCCATATTTTTCAGGGCTGGCAAAACAGAAGTAACTAAGGGTTGCATATCTGTTCATTACAGCCTGTAACTTTATTACCCAGGAGTCTCAAATTATTTAGTATGTTGAATCTAGTTGTTAGCAATTCTTGTTTATATTTTAATTTGCTACATTTAAAATCTTCATGTAGAGCCAGGCTAGTTCTACCTTAAAAAAAAAAAAAACACCCCTCTGCTTAAAAGAAATGGTACTTCCTGCTTTCATAAACAGTCATGTGCATAGTTTAGCGAGGCCTGATGCCTCTGGAGCTTTTTCCCTTTATAGCACCATTGAATCCCAGTCCTAACAGAACTACTGCGAATCTTGTGGCCTCATTTTGAACAAAAGGGATTAGAGAAGAAAAAGCTCTTGATATAAGACTTGAAAGCAAGGGCAGGCAATCTTGGTTGTGAATATTTTCTGATTTTTCCAGAAATCAAGCAGAAGATTGAGCTGCTGATGTCAGTTAACTCTGAGAAGTCGTCCTCTTCAGAAAGGTACAGCTACATCTCTTGCATGAACAATTAATGGTGTAGCATTGCTAAGAAACAAACCAGGACATATTTTTCTCTTGTCAAGTTTGCTATATAATGTATTGTACTGCATGCTGGTCATTGTGCTGTATTGAAGATGTGTATTTGGGCAAGCCGTTCTGCTTTTACAAAGGGTAATTGATTTTTTAAAAAAACATAGTGAAGCCTAATCAGCTGCAGCATGCACACCATAACACAGCAGACTGCTGGTTGATGTATGACAGCTGTTGAAGGCTTTAAAATATAATTTACTTGGCTAAAAAACAAACAACTCTTGCTTCTTTAAAGGAAATGCTAGTATTAGATTTTTCTCTCTGTATTTTGACATTGTTGCTACACAAAATTACCGACACTATTTGTAAGATCTAGGTTAAAAATACTTGACTTTTGGTTGTAATAAACATTTTCTTATGTGGAAAGGGAGTGTCATTTGTAAATAGCTTAGGAATTGCAAACCCACAGATTAGTCACATTCTGAAAGAGATATGATGCTTCTTCAAGTCTGTGCTAGGAAATGGAACAGTCACTGCATGCAGTAATGGTTCATGCCTGCAGGTAAGGACAAAATGACTCAAGTATTTTTAAAGCAATTATTTTATCTGTCAATCAAATGATTTACCAGTAAGGAGATAGTTCCTTAAAATGGCAATTTACTTAATAAATAGAATTAATGGTATTTTTATCTCAGGTCAGAAATGAGCCTATAGTTGCCTATTTTGCTATGTGATTATTGTGTTCACTTCTGTTTACCAAAATTTTGTATACTACATAATGTGTTAAATTGGGGTCCTTGGACATATAGTTGATACTTATCTTTCTCTTGATAACCTAATAGTTTATATGTAATGTTGGTATTTTGTATTTTAGGTGTGTTGATTTATCTTTTCTGTAGTTAGTTTTCAGGGTTATCTTTTTTGTTCATAGATTTAATATTTAGGAAAACATGATGGAGAAATGACTTGGGAGTAAGGAATGATGTAGGAAAAACACTGGGAAAAACATGTGAAGAACCTAACATGGTTAAAGGGATTTAATTAAAGTACACTAGTGTATGGAGAACACGATCTGATGACAAAATGATGACATTAAATCAATTTATTAGTATAATTAGGTGAAGGGCTCCTGGCTATAACTCAGGGCATTACAGATATGGATGATGTTACTGCTTTCTTTAGAGATTGAAAAAAGAAAAATTTAGGCACATTAATGTTTATTTTTATGTAGTTCTGTCTTCTGGTTTGTGGCTAGCCATTCGTTCTTAAGCATTCTATTTGCTGAGATGAAAATAATCTTTAGCCTTGTGAATGTTCTGCCAGTAAAATGGTGGTGATGGGAAGGCGAGAGGGTGGTTGTGTAAATAGTGAATGGTCTAGGAAGAGCATTCTTAATGGGATCACAGCAATAATTATGTTGACTGTTTTGAGTAGCATGAATTCTCTATTGATAAATTGAGGGTTGAACAGAATAGACTCATTATTGAGAAATTAGGAATGAGGGAGGTTTTTGATGGTTAAAATACATTCTTTTATGGAAAGAGTCTTAAAATATTTTGGTGATTACATTTATTTAATTATTTTTTATTATCATTAATTTTACCTAAGCTCTTGTGGTTATTTTTGATCAAAAGAGAGGATGCATGTGGCCATGATTTTAAAGTTTAGAAATCAGTTGTTATGCTTATAACAACTTGATATACAGTGTTACCAGAGCTTGCTTGTTTTGTTTGTTATTCTTGCCTTGTTTGATACTCCATATATCTTACACATATATTTGAAAGTTAAGATATGCTGACTTAATTAGTGATGAATGTGGTTTATGGGTCAGCTAACACTTTGCAAACATAGAAATTGTTTTATTAATATAAATATAGTAAAAATAGAAGTCCCCCTCCCTGTTTTTAAAGTCATACAATGATGAATAGTCAACTCATTTGTCTTTTAAATTTGTTTGGAAGAATCTGAAAAACAAGAATTAGAGTTAGAAAGAAATTTATGGCCTAGTAGCACTATATCCTGCCAGGAATTTAATAGCTTGTAGTGTCATGTAGCATTATCACCACATTCTTTAAGTCCTTATTCACTAGTTACCTAAATTTTAAAAGTCTTTGACTGGTTTCTTTTTTTTTTTTTTTTAATTAATTGCTTGAGGCATGACCTGAGTCTTAAAGATACTTGGAAGTTCAGATGGTCACTATTTCCATTACTGTTTATTGGTAGGAAGGATGAAGAAACCCAGTCTTCTTTAAAAAGGGAAAAGCTACTTGTTTGTAAAAAACCAAGTTATTTGCCACCATTAGTTTTGCTCACTGCTGTGTAGAATGGTCTTTTGGTATTTCAGGGAAGCAAGTGGAGAAACGACACTTGTAACAACAGTGATGTGCTGTTACTAATAATTTTTTTTATCTCTCATATATAACCTGAATTCCTTCACGGGAATTTCTAGTCTTGTGATACCTAGTATTTATTGGAAAAAAAAATTTTTAGACAATTTTGTAAAATGGGAAAAGCGAAACAAAAAAACCTAACTTTTTTTAGACTCAATTATTTTTCACTGAAAAATACAAATATGATTCACAATGTGATAATGGAATTTTGGAGGTTTTTGCAGGGTGCTAGATTAGAAAACATTCTCTAACAGATCTCAATACTACAGTGAAACTTGCAATTACATATTCACCTTTAACAAAAGAATGGAGGTCCAACAAATGCCATTTTGTAGGGAGGCATGAGGTATAGTACTGTTCTCTTCAGAACAGCAGACTCATAGGATGAAAACCAATGGGGTGACAAAAATTACTTTTTTGAGTGTTTTATATTTTGGAGAGAGATAAAAATGTCAACTTGATGTATTTTTAAAATTAAGGACAAAGAATGTTATTGAAGGAATTTTAGGAAAAGGATGCCTGATTTATATGTTATTGCCTGGTAAGAGGTAGATATTACCTGTTTCAAGATATTCTATGAATAAATATTACTACTAGTATTTTTTTTAAATTGAGTGCCTGTTGAATGAAAGGATGTATTCATCTTCAATATGTTAGGACAGAGTGACACAGTTTTACTTCCTCATCTACTGGATTTTATGTAAAAAAAAGTATATATTTGATGCAAAATCTAGGTTTTCAAATTTTTGTTTCTTGCCTTTTCCAATCTATAACACTCCTGGAATTTGGAAATTTGTGGGGAAGAGGAGTTACTGGAGTAGTAATAACAATAACAGCTATTGAAAAGATGGAAATCATCTATAAAATATTTTTAGATACCAGTTTCAAGTGAGGAGAGAGGACGCAATTAGAAATGGCTGCTGGGAGGACTTAGACAAATCATCCCAGAAAGATCCTGAATGGACAGAAAGCACTTTGCTGTACTAAAATTATTGTCAAACTGTATTGCTACTTCTCCAGGAGTTAACTCATGAACAAAATTGGATGACTCAGTGTACAAGAGGTGATCCCAGAGTGCACAGAGCCACGATCCCAGCCCATCTAGACCGACTCCAGGAAGGGCTGAGCAGTTTGTTAGTTGAGGGGCTGGAGAAGCTGAGACTCTACACTCATACTAAGCATTGCACGCACCTGCTGTTGTTCAGTGTAAATGTAAATGGCTGTTTTTGTAATTAATAGACTTTACAGTCAGTCCAAAGTTAACTAAATATCAGTGCCTACGAGGTTTGCATTTTCTCAGGGAATAGAAACTAAAAGGATCATTTTTTTGTGTGTGTTTGTTTTTTGACTTTTTTTTGGTGTTAAAAGGGGTCCTTATACTAGAATAAAGAAGAAATAGTAGCCAAGATAATTCTCATCTCACATAGCTAGCACATATTTGAATTGGCAAATTGCTAGCTACTGTTTTCAAGAGAAGGGTGAGAGGAAGAAAGTATAAAAATATTTACACTGTGGCCTATATTTTAACAGTGCTGTATAAATGGGATTGGTGTGAAGTAATAGGGATTGTATGTTGTCCCTCCCCCAGTAAAAGGACATTTGAAACAGGTAAAGAACCTGTGCTATTTTGTACGTGTGTTTTAAATTCCTTTTCTTATTTTGGAGACTCTTAAAGTGAAGAGTAAAGGGCATATGATAATGATGTGTGGTTCAGAAAGAAAAAAGAATCCTGAAAGAATAAGGAGTAAGGGAGGAGGAAAAAAAAAGAATGGGAGGTGAAGACAGAAGGGAATAAAGGATATTCAGTGGAAAAGGATGCAGGGCCAGGGTATATTTTATTTTCTCCATGTGTCTGTGGTGAACTAAGTAGTCATGGGAGGAGAGCCAGACTTTGTAGAAGATCCTCCATTGTACTCCTCCTCACACTCCCACCTCTCCCCCACCCCCACGCCATGCCAGCTCAAAGGGCAAGACAGACAGTCACTGAGAACTGTTTTCCTTTCCAACCCCTACTCTGCCACTGTGGGCTTTGTGTCTCTGTTTGTAGATGGATGTATTTAGGTTGTGTGTATTTTTTCCTGAGTGGTGAGATGAGATGACAGTGGCTGATTGTGTTGTCTTCCCTTCACTCCGTTCTTATGCCTTCTTTTGTTTTTATTTATTTTTTTGTAATTTTTTAATTGGAGATATATATGGGAAAGTGCACAGGTCATATAGATGATTATGAAATCCAATTTATTGATTTTTTTTCTTTTAGCAGTTTATATTTTATGTGTATCTGAGAAATCTTTGCCAAGCCCAAGGTCACTAAGGTTTTCTGCTAGGTTTAATTATAGAAGTTTGGGGCTTTTAATATTTAAGTCTTGATTCAATTCAGGTTTTAGTATTAAGGTAAAGATTGAGATTATTTCTACATGACTTTTGAGTTGTGTCTGTTTTTGAACATTATATATAAATAAAAACTCTCTGTATACCCTCTTGGTCTGTCTTCTCCCTCTGTTACCTATGTGAGATTCATCCATGTTTTTGTGTGTGGTTGTAGTTCACTCAGTCTCATTACTGTATTTACCATATGAATATA